ATACAGAGAGGATCTTGCAGCTGGCGGTCGACGAGTTCGAAAGCGTGTAGGTATACCCAGCACGCAGGTACCTGTACGAGATCGGCCTTGCCTCCTCTGCCTGCGGTGAGCCGTATGTCGACCACAGCCGTTTCCAGACCGGGAGGTGCACGTTCCGAAGTTGTAGGCATGGGAGTACGGGGGAGATCTGGTACCACGTCCTCGTCATGGCGCTGCGAGTGCTGTGGACCGTGCTCCTGTGGAAGGCGCTGGGGGCTCTGGGGATCGGGACCCACGCAACGTAGCTGCGAGTGCTGTGGATCGCGTTGCTGGTGCGGTCGCTGGGAGTGCTGGGCGTCGGGACCCACGCCATGCTGAAGCAAGTGCTGCGGATCGGGTTCCACGCCCTGTCGCTGCGAGCGCCGTGGATCGAGCCCCCACAGACTGCGCTGGGAGTGCTGAGGATCGGGGACCACTCCATGCAGCCGCGAGCGCAGTGGATCGTGTACCGCACGGGGGCGCTGCGAGTGCTGTGGGTCGCGGCCCGCGTCATCTTCGAGGCGGGGTCGTGAGCCGCGAGTTCGAGAAGGCTCCCGTTCGTGCCGCCAGTCTCCCCACTCCTCCCAGTCGGGCCTCCTCCGAGCCTCCTCTCAGATTTAAACAACCTGTTAGTTTGGTTACCCGTGGGCACCGCGGGCCTAGTTAAAACGGTCCCTGGGAACCAAATTAGTGTCCGTACTCGCGGTTGCGGTCGAGCGAGGACAACTTGGGGCTCCCGCCGTGGGGCCGTCTTCCACCGTAGATACGTCTGCGCACGGTAGGTCGCACAATCCCGAATCATCTCGGATTGTGGATGAAGCTCGAGCTCGTTCGATTTCGGCCCGACACCGTTTCGCCGCCGCCACTTCCTCCTCCTCCGTCTCCTCCTCCTCCTCCTCCTTCTCACCCGCTCCTCCTCATCCTGCTCCTCCTCCTACTCCTCCTACGCCATTCTCCTTTTCTTAGGTAGACCGCTGGGCGCACACATCTGTGCCTCCGGCCTCCTCTTCCTCCTCCTGCGCTCCGTAACAATCATTCTGGATCGGCATGCAGGAGGCGAAGCACAGTTGACATACCAGGAGGTGCACGGCGGAGAGCCTGCCTGATGGGACAGTGGGGTAGTAAGCTTTTTGCCCCGCATGGACCGCTAGCTCCCATATGCCTCCATGATGTATGATCGTCCTCCTCCTCCTCCTCGTCCTCCTCCTACTCCTCCTACTCCTCCTCCTCCTCATCATCATCCTCCTCTTCCTCACCCTCCGCTGCCGTCTCCTCCGCTGCGTCCCCGTCCCCTTCCCAGTCCCCATCCACACCAGACATCCGATGCCTGGATGCTGTTCAATGTCAATACCTCGCTCCCCGGCATCTCGACCCCTTCCAGGAGGCTTGTTTTTGTTCGTCCGCGCGCCGAAACTCGCGCACAATCCCACTGTCTCGACGAGACGTCGGAGGCCCGGGATATCCACCCGCCCTCCACTCCTCTCTCCCCCCCCCCATGCCAGAGGTCGCCCAGGGGGCAAGAAAGGCAACGTGAGGGCTGGAACCACTGCGCGCGCTTCGCACGCGCTCAAGCGTCAGCTCGCTGAAACACCGAGGCACAACGCGAAAGAGAAATCGTACCGCGGTAATCCACATTCGCAGAGTGCCGATGGCGTCTTTGGGGCTTCTCACAGCCCTTATGGACGCTCTATGACCTCTCCCACGAACGCGGTGGGGTCCCCAATAATTCGTGCAACAAATTTGGATGCCTCAGTGCGTAGACGAATTGAAGCGACATGCAGGTCCTCTCGGCGCACTCCTGCAACTCCTCGGAGGGCAGAGGCGAGGGGGGGATGCGCAAAAGCAAGCGGGAACAGGACGAGGCAGAATCTGAAGGAATCGGAGGGATGAGAATAGGGGAACGAAAAGTGACATACACATAAAAACTCGCAGGTCCGCGCGGATTTCTCGGATCGGCGCTTGACCCCCCTCCCTGGCGCGCTCCGCGCGCCAGGGGCGGCGCCGGAGGCGCCGCTGGGGGGCCCCAGCGCCGATCCGAGAAATCCGCGCGGACCTCCGAGTTTTTATGTTTATGCCACTTTTTGTTCCCCTAGCGAATGCAGACAGAAAGGGACGAGCAAAACAAAGACGGAAGGTCGCGAAGAAGTGGGATAAGGGACCCGAAGGAGCGTCTTGAAGGCGCCAACGGCGAGTGCCGCGCCGCCCGCCGGCCTTTGGAAGAGGCGCACGGTGCGGCCAGCTGTCGTGGAAGCGCAGCGCCGGAGGCCGACAGTGACGCGGCGGTGAAAGGCGTCCGACCGTGGTTGAACTCTGCGGGCTCGCCTGGGCCGTCTTGGGGCTGCCTCGGGGCCCTTCGGCCCTCTTTGCAAGGGCTCCCAACTTCGCGCTTCGCGCTGCGCGAAGCGCGAAGCGCGAAGCGCGAAGCGCGAAGCGCGAAGCGCGAAGCGCGAATAACTTCGCGCTTTCGTGCCGCCTCCCAGGG